GCCACCTTGTGTGAATGTAACAAGTAAGATTTGGCCTTTAACAACAGAAGGTCAACTGAATTCCCGTTAATCCTTTTCTTTCAACTCCCAAGAAAGAAAAGAAAAATAGAAATCATTGTGGAATAGAATGGCACTCCAATGGTAAACTTACCACGTAATTTCACAGATGTAAGGCTGGCCTGCTCATCCACACTGTCTACTTTGGGACCAAGGACAAATTTTTCCAATTTCAAATGAGAGTCTCATTGGGGACACTACTGCTGCAAGCAGGCAATGCCTGGGACGTCCTCTAGCAGCTACAAGGAACACTGTAGCTGTTGAAGTTAGTGCAGGCAGCCATGGCAGCCTGTGTAGATAAGTGATTCTGGGATGATTTCTTTTTCTGCAGTCCTTCTTTCAACAGCTGGAAAAACATTCATGGGTTTGAAACCTGCATTGTAGCTGAATGTTAGTCAGCCTGGGTTCTGCCAGCGTGCAGCCCTGCTGGTGTGCTGCTCTATCACTGCCTGCTGCTGAGCTTATGTGTCCTGCTCCTTTAAGACTGAATGGGGTATCAAGCCCATGTGGCCACAGGAGCTTTGGTAACACAAGTACCTCATTCAGGTCAGGCCTGTGTGTCTTGGCACAGCACTGGTCTGTATGTGCTTGCAGCCCAAAATGCATCAGTTTACCTAGCTGCCAAACTGCATGGTGCACTGATGCTTTGGTAGCTCCCTCCTTTCACTTCTAGAATTTTCTAGTTCTTTCGTTATTGGTTCTTTTCACATCTCTCTCTCTGGTCTTTCAGGATTATCTGTGGCATCAATTGTTTCCTGCAAAGAAAAGAAAAGATGCTAGATTGAATTCTCAGTTAAAAAAAAATCTGAAATATCATTGCATCCAGGGTTTTGTGCCCTAGACCAATTCAGTAGGTCCTAAACCTGCATGAGTTATGTCTTCCTTCTGCTTTAACCAGACTTATTGTTTCCCTGTAATATTTCTCAGCCCTTGGTAGCACTTGAGAAGTTAGAGTTTAATACTGTACATGACTGTTGTTAATGTGCCAATTACTCTCTTTCATACCATCAAGGATGCTGGGAAAGAGGTGCCTGGAGACTAACCATTTTTTCATTTCAAATCCATATTTATTCTGACTGCTTGCAGTGGTTAGGGATATCTTAGTTTGCATGACCTGGTTGATATCTGAGATAATTTGAATCAATTTAAGAGGAAGCTGTGTGTAAATTCCTTTCTATAATCTATACCTGATGCTTCCTTTTTGTCTCTTGGTGATATGTCTAAACTGAAACAAACAACAGCAATATCAACAGCTGAAATTAACCAAAGATTTGTACTTTAGAGACCCATGCAGCAAATTACTCTTACTTCACTTATCCTCTGTACACCTATAGATATTTTTTCCTCTCCCAGAATTTGTTCCTCTTCATTTTATTGGCAATAGTTGTAGTCATTACTGCCACATAGGAAAGCTGAGCAATTTTTCAAGGATGCTTTGCTATATTGTGTTTTGCGTCCCAAGATGGAAGTCCAATGTGTTGGCAGAAACATAGCAGAACCCAAGAGATATTTCTTCCTCATAAAGAAATAAGATGCAGCCAGATGGGCCAGCAGAAGCATTCTTCCAGCTCCAGCTGCTTTCAGTGCTCAGTGGGCACCAGGAGCTTCCCTAGGTGCTGTAGCTCCTGGTTCACCATTTGTCCATATCATGTTTGGTACCTAAGTGTGGTCAGGTGACCCCAGTTAGTAGCAAAAAGTCAACCCAACTACTTTCTTACTACTCAATGCCTCAGCAGGATAGGGGATAAGGTAGGAAAAACAGGAATGAGAAAGCTTGTGAGTCAAGATGTCAAGATGGAGATCAGTTGCCATCATGGGCAAAACAGACTCAATTTGGGGGAAATTAAGTTGATATATTGCTTATGAATGTATATGTATTTAATCACAGATGTGGGTATTGGGAAGCAAGAAGACAAATATTTGTCTTTCCTCACCCACTTTTTCTGGTGCCTCCACAGGCTGCCATCAATACAATTTCCTCAGATCACTAAAGCAGACAGGACTCAAGACTCTGAGCACCATTGGCAGCCTGCTGCTGGGTCAGGTCTCCCAGCAGTGGAGGCACACAGAGCAGCCAGAGCAGACCTGAGGGTGTCCAGCATCTGGGGAGCCTCTGCTGCAGCCCTCATCTCTCTGGGTGTCCATGGGTAGAAGTGAAGATGCTCAGCACTTTCCAGGATTAGGCTATCAATAATAAACCATTTTAAATATCTCAAAAGCAGTGCTGCGATGACAACCCGAGTAATTAATTGCATTGCTTTTAATAGACCTTTCAGATAGTGCCAAGTTGGTGACATCTGCCACAGTGAGGTAATACCTTCAGGCAAGAACATTTTTAACATGGCAGTACCTCAAAAGGCACTCTGTAGATAGGCTGCAAATGGCTGTGCAGGGGGTAAGATGTTTTATCAGACTGTTAGGCTCTCCTGCTCATTGTGCAATCAAAAGAAGTCCATTCATCCACTTACAGGTGGAAGATTTAATTAGGAACTATTTCTGAAACAGTAAGGCTGCCTGCCTCAGGTGCACTCTGCTTTTCTTGGAGGTCACATTCTCTTGCAACTTATTCTTGTTTGGTATCGGTATTATTATTGCTCTTTTAGCATAGTTGTCTTTGATATCCAGTGGTGAATCAAATCTAGCAGAGGCTCATCCTCAGCTGATACAAATAGGCTTGCCCCAAAGCAATTAAGCATGCTGATTAACAGCAGCAGAATAAGTGGAGATAGAGTTTTCATACGAACATATTTACTAGCTTCTCTCTTTCTCTTGGGGAAAAAAATGAAAAGATGTTATTAAAATAGAGTTTGTTTATTGACCTTTTCTAATTTGTGTTCATAACATCATCTTGTTTATTAACAACTCATCTTAAGCTGAGATGTTCCCTGAAACAGTTTGTGCAGAATCCATGAATTGAAGCTGGACAAACTGAGTACCAGGGAATTAATTTCAGAGGATATGTTCTCATTATCACATTAACTGTTCATCTTTTGAGATGGATAGAATTCTGGCTGGCAGCTGCAATCTTGGAGATAAGTATATCTATATATTTGATAGAAGTGGAACCTCTTAAAAAAGATATTTACTATTCCATTTTCATGCTTGTGTCAAGCCTCAAGATTTGGACTGAAGACTGGGCTTATTGCTGCATTAGTCCTCATGCCCAGCCCACTTCTATACAGTGGAGTTAATGTGGAAATCAAGTGACCTAACTTACAGTCTTTCTGCAGCCCATCTTGGGAGAGCAGGCTGGAATGCAGCTTTCTCTGATCTTGCTTTAAGTCTTGGTGACTTTCCTGCACCAAGATCTATGTGCTACAGTGGCAGTGCAGATGGTGAAGTTGGCTTTGCATTGCAAAGTTGTGGACTCCTATGCACAGTGTTTTGGTTTTTTTTGATTTCTGAAGCTGCTCTGCATCCCCTTTGAGCACTGTGCATGTGGCAATGGCAAATGACAGGTCCTGCAGTGCTTTGGAAGTGGAGGGGAGGAGAGGGACAGTGCCACGCCAGACAGAATTGTCATTTGAAAATGTCACCACTTTGAAAGTAGTGGAAAAGTTGCCTTAAACCAACGTGGAAGAAGGGAGAGGTGTTCAGTGGGTCTTCGTCATCTTTGTGGGCATGGAAATAGCTGGCAATAGTGCTTCAGTGACTGGAAATCCCTATGGTCATTTCCAAGATTCACTGATAGCTCACATGGAAATTGGGCAAATAATTTTACAAAACAGTGTTTCCCAGTTGATTCTTCCTCTCTGTATGCTGTTTCCTCAGTAAATGACTGTTTTATTCCAAGATTTACTTATTTGGCTGCATTGTTTGTACAATCTTCCTTTGTACATGATGTGCCTACGTTTCCAGAGATTTCCAGAGGACTCATGATTTCCCCTGACATTAGCTAAGCCTTCTGTGGAGTTCAATATCTCTGCAAAAGGAGGCTCGTTGTGTTCCTTTGAAGCAGCAATTCAGAATTCCAGAACCAAAGCCAGGTCACACCAACTGATGCAGCGAAGCATCTAAGTTGGTGAATAGGCAATGTCACAAGTGCAACTGCTTGGGACAGTCCTGTATCAAGTTAAACACATCTGTCTGCTTTGCTGAGCTGCAACCTGTGTCCCAGAAGCTCGGGTAAAAAGAGGACTTGATGCTGATGGGCCAAATCAATCTGTGCACGCATCTACCTTCAGAATTGTGTCATATGGAGAACTAGATCCTCCTGGAGAACAGGGGGCTCAGTTTCACTTTACATGAAGGGAAGCAGGCTTGCTATGAGATACAGGACACCTGCACTGAAGATCTGACAGTGAGTGCTCATGTTAATGAAGCAAGGCCATTTTGTAATGCCCCAAATCCTTAGGTTGAGCTTGCAGATAGTGTCTAGGAAGAGACAATGGGATTAGTATGAGACTGGGAGTGGTGAGACTCCTGCTTTAGAAACAATGGGAGTTGCATGATCCTGTACCCAAGAATATGATAGTGTTTCCCTTGCGAGGAAGGAGGAAAAGGAATGAAGGAAGGAAAATGAGGTTATTGAGGTTTTTTCTTCTGCTTGGACTTTGGTTCTGGAAACTGGAGCAACTTAAGCTCAGATGAATTATGATCCCACGATTAAAACAAGTGATAAGAATGAGCCTGAGGCTAGACCAAGTAATCCCCTGCTTGAGAGAGCTCTGCTCTGCTCAGTATAGTAGTAGCTGTGCTTCACCATGTAGTCACCTTGCTCAGTGCTCACTGCTACGTGAGCAGTCCTAGCACGTAATGCATCTGAAGTTGTGGTAAGCTCACAGGGAACAAAAACTTTTGTGATCCGATGAGGAAATCGCTTAAAATAAAAAAAAAAAACAAGAAGTGATCCATCTTGAAATTTTGATCCTCTGCTGAGGTATTTTCTGTATTGCAAATAGCAACTAGGTAGTGGAGTTTTTCTTTTTCCTCCCCTTTTCCAGGGGCCTTCGTCTGATCAAAACTTCATCATGTGAGCCATGTACTTCTGGTACTGTAGCTGAAATGCTGCACTTGTCCTCAGAATGGATTAACAAGTGAACAAGAACAGCTGTGAGCTGTCACCTGGAGAAGGCTTGGGTATGTGTCAGAGGTGAGCAAGGACTGGAGCTCACTGGTAATACTGGCTTCTCGTTGGCCTCCCGACTGGCGGCTACCCAGTGAGCTGAATGTGCTTAAAGATTTCGGGTGGTGGCCATTAAGTCGTCTAGCCTGACAAACACTTTCCCATCCTAGTTGTAGAAGACTGAGGGAAGCAGGTCTTGTGTGAAATGCAGCCAAGGTTTCAGTGAGTGTTTCCATTTATTTTCACTTTGGCAGCTGTGGGCCTACGGCTTGTTCTGTAACTTACATAATCAATGTGAATATTAAAATCTTTCCTGAAAAAGATCTCCTAATATAAAGTACAGATTTTAGTAAAACTACACATGTTGGTTTTTCTAAGATCTTATTTCAATACCCATTGGAATCCACAGAATCATTTCCACTGACTTTGGCGACTGGTGATGAGATGAAGCGTGCTCTTTGTTCAAAAACCTGGACGAGAATGGAGATGTTGCTATATAAAGACCATGAACAAAAGCCATTACTCTCACTGGCATCGGTAAATGTGGGGGGAAAAGATTTTTTTTTCTTTCTTAGAGAGAATAGAAAGGTTAGAAAGAAAGGCCCTGGAGCAAAAAGGAATGTGAGTCAGAGCTTTCAGCAGGACCTGACTCTGGGGTTTTCATCTTTGAACACAAAATGAATGCAGAATACTGAACAACTAGTGAAATCAAGACCTACATGCAAAATAGCTGAAGTAGATGAATTTGGTATGCATGATGGCATAATTTTTAAATCTGCGGAATAAAATGTGACAAACTTCCAAAGAAACACAGTCATCCTTGTTTCAGTACTAAGCACTCTGTGGGAGTTGCAGCACTGATTAACTTATAGCCTGTGGATTTCAAGGGCCTTTTTCTGAGTGTGACAGTGAGAGCTGTTGATAATGAGGTTAAACTTCACCAGGTGATTCAAGAAAGCTGAAGTACAGCACTGCCTTCTGCACTATGATCTGCCCCATTCAAGGTTAACAAGAACAGGTAGACCTAGAGGAAAAGCAGCAAGAATAAGCCTGCTTTTCCTTGCCCTGATACAGAGCAGAAAAGCAAACTTTGCCCTCTTTGTTTCGGTTTTTTGACACTGGCATTGCTTAGGCAAGGAAGGTACATAGAAATCTCTTGTTGTTTATTGGCAACCTGCAAACCTTTCTTGATGGTTTTTGCTGATGTGGACTCTGTGTGCAGTGAGCTCCGCATCTTTCCAGAGCCACAGTGAAGCCAGGAAGCTGTGCACAAGTGGGGAAGTGCCCTGTGCAGAGATTTCTGTCATCACTGGGTCCGAGACACTGCATGGAGTAGGGATTATTGGCTGCACAAGAGATATTGCATTCAAATATATTTTGGCAATATGACAAAGCCTTGGGGGAAAAAAAAAAATAAAATTGTTTCCAACTGCGGAGAGGTAATTGCTAAGAAGAAAAGAATGGGGTGACTTCTATGTGTTACCTGGCACATCTCCAAAATCAGCCAATCTAGAGACAAATATGCATCTTTGGAGAAAGCCGCAGGTAATCCAAATCATATACTCAGCTATCACTCCCACTCTGCTCTCAGACTCCTTTCTGAAGCTATGAGCATGCAAGGAACTTGAATACGCTGTGGAGGAATAAATGCTGCAATAAGTTAGAAGGGGGAAGAAAACCCACAGAGCATGCTGAGCTGCTGTTTTCCAGTTTAGATGCATTTATTTTTTTTTTCCAAAGCTGTTGCACTGGTTTCCTCTGTTTTCTTCCTTTCTTTTCTCTGCCTGTCAAAGAATGAAATGAGCCCTGGTGAAGAGACAAGCCTATCTTTTAAGGCTCAATTTTTGGTCTGAAGTGAATTGACATTTCTGCTTAGTCTTTGTGGCAACCCTCTCTTAAGTTAATTTCATTCATTAAAAAAATACAATTTCATTTCTGCTTATTGAATTTGTGTAATGTTCAGTCTCAGCTACTATTTAGCTCAACAAAGATAAGTTTTGTTTTCCATGAACACTTAATCAGTGTTCATGGATACATCATCTTTTATTTCCCTTGAGCTTCGTTTTAGCCCACCTGTACTGGATATGTGATTTTGCCATTTCCCTTGCTAAGCTCTTGCAGTTTTTCTGCCAAGCACAGTGATGTGTGCATATGACAGAGCAGAATGGAGTTGCCAAGCACAGTACTGTGGCAAAAAAAAAATCCAACCCAATTCCCTGTCTTTCTCTTAACCAGTATGAGGCCTTTTAAACAGATCTTTAAGTATTTTTTCAGTTTTTTTTCTTTAAGAACTTTTGTTAGGTGGTAAAGGAAGTCCTTGTTTGCACAAGGATCGGTTTTGAGAGAGGCTGAAAATCCCCATGGACTCTGGGGCTGTCTTCCATCAATGGGCCTAGCAGCTTGTTCTCAAATGTGCATGACACACAAAGACTCAAATATGACTTGAGCTTCTTCCTTGTTGTCTAGCCCAGATGCTACTTCCTGACAGCTCAAGATTAAGAATTGGAATGCAGTTTGTAGCCAAGACAAGTACAGCCAAGTAGAGAAAAAATCAAAGGTCTTCTGTGCAGGAAATGTGAAATGCTGCGTGTTTCCTAATTATTAATAATTATTTCTGTGACCCCAGATGCATGATGTCTTCTGAGTAATATAAATGACACTTCAGCAGAAGTGAGTAAATGCTTGCTTTCACGGTGTAGGCAGGCCTCCAACACTGGCAAGAGGGGCATTGCAGTAATGTGGATGAAAGCCAGCTTTCAGAATTGGTGTTAGCAGCCCCTCCACCTGCAGGAGTTTGGGTTTTTCAGAAGCATATTTCGAGGCCACAGCTGGAGTACTGTGCTCAGTTCTGGACTCCCCAGTTCAAGAAAGACAGGGATCTTACAGAGAAAGTCCAGCTGAGAGCCACTGAGCTGATGAGGGGCCTGAATCATCTCCCTTATGAGGAAAGGCTGAGAGCCCTGGGGCTGTTCAGCCTGGAGAAATATGTGAGAAGAGGCCTAATCAATGCCTATAAATACCTAAAGGATGAGAGTCAAGTGGATGAGGCCAGGCTCTTTTCAGCAGTGTGCAGCAACAAGACAAGAGGTGCTTTGCACGAACTGGAACATGGGAAGCTCTATCTGAACATGAGGAAAAACTTTTTACTGCAAGGGTGACAGAGGACTGGAACAGGCTGCCCGTAGAAGCTGTGGAGTCTCCTTCTCTGGAGATCCTCAAAAGTTGCTGGACCTGTGCAACCTGCTGTAGAGAACCGCTTTAGTAGGGTCTGAACTCAATCTCCAGAGGTCCCTTCCAACCCCAACAATTCTATGATTACATTTTATATAGGGCTGTAGTAATGGTGCTGAGCTGATAATCATGGGAACCACAGTACTCAGTTTATCCAAAAACCTCATACAGTGCAGGCACAGTGATGTGTGCATGCCCCTTGGTCCCCTTTCAGGTGGGGAAAGCCAGCAGTAGCTGCCTGCCTGCTAGGAATGGGGTAATGACCTGCTGCCACTCGAGATAGCTGTCATTCCAATGCTGCCCAGAACCACAGTGTTTATTACCTCACATTAATTGAAACGTAGCTCTCAGCAACCCTTAGTAACACGCGCAATGGTGGTGTGAAAGCATTTGTTTCCAGAAGAGATCCTGGTAACCAATGAGGCTGAGGAGTGGTGCCTGACCTTTGGGCATTGGTGCTCAGCCTGGCAGGCTGCCTGGCTGGGGGAGGAAGGGAAAGTTCTTCCTTGTAAACGCCAATTTCATGTCAGTGCCTTCTGTTAGCATTTAGTTTGTTTAGCTCGGAACGTGCGGCTCCAAAGCTCCCTTTGGCTCCTTTTCCCTATGACACTCGCAGCTCAGAATCAACACGTGACTTCCATTTCATAGATAATGCAGCTGCTGCATTTCCAAGTCTGCCTGACTCCCAGATTTCCGCTTGTTTAACCTCGGGACTGCCTTGGGATTTTCCTCAAGGCTGCCAAAGTCAGCTTCTCCTCCTCCTCTTCAGAACTTCCTCAGCACCACTGCTTAGGGGCAGAAACTCTCACTGGATGCAACCCACATGCTGCAGCTGTGCTTCCCGACGGCTGCAGAGGGAGGAGCACAGCGCTGGTAAGCATCTGCGAGCACTGGGGCTCTCACAGCTCATTCAGGATACGTTCCACTCATCCTTCTCGGGTGCTGTGTCTGATCATTTTTCATGGCAGGAGGGTCAACTGACACCTGTTCAAATCTAGGTTTTAGATTGCCGTCTGCTACATGACCTGGTTCCTCCTGTGACTTTGGAGTAATGTATGCAACCTGAGCTTGACTCCATGCTTTTCTCTGAAATTGCTCTGATGATACAAAGACCCTTTAGCCCGTGTTACTAGTAACGTAGTTCATTATTAGCAGGAACAATAGCAGATAGGTATCTTTAGTTTCCACCAAACCACGCAGTAAAACAAAAATGAAAACTTACCGGCACCCAGCAAGGCAAGCATTAAAAATGAAATGCAGAAAGGGGAGCAAAGAAGTCACAACTTTTGAAAGAAGTAGATGTGAATTGAACACACAAAATGAATGAGAGACTGAAATCTATATCTACAGTGGTAGCTGCCCACTTTGAACTGCATTTTTTCATGGTATGCTGCTCCATTACACAGTAGTTTAAATAACCACAATATAAGGTCAGTGGCCCATTGATGCGTGTTCTGATTTCACACTCTACCGTTATTAATGGCCAAGATTTGATGGAAATTACTCTTTTTGATATCTAGTCCCCCAAATAATGTTTAGATCATTTTGATCTGCCTTGTTAGAAGATCTATTCGTTGTTTCTGGTGATTTTGTTGTTGGAAATGAGTCTCATCTTTAAATACTAAGAGATGTGTTCTGCTATTTCTGTTGGTGTTCCTCTCTTACATGTTTTCTGGTGTTTGACAAGGTCTGCACAAGTAAATGTGCAGGAAGGGGAAAGGAGTAGATCCGTGAATGGGTTGAATTCAGTTCTGGGATGAGTGTAAAAATGTAATCGTTTTCCATTCTCACAAATATTTTTGTTAGCATTCTTGATGGTACGCACTGAATTTGCTTAGTTGTGACAGGTCATAGGTCACCTCACATTTTTCCTGAGCCATCACATCGTTGGAATCTTGTGTTGGTGTCTTCAGTCAATCCGTATATCATAGTTAGACTATTTGCTACAGAGAGCCAAAAGCAAGCACTGCTGCTTGCTCCTTATAGTGGCAAACCTAAGGGATAATTTGCATTGCAGATATGAGAAGAGGCTTGAATGGACACCTTCCTGCATATCTCACTACGTCTATGGTCCTTTGGATTTTGCAAGTTGGAGATTTGATGTATGGCAGCAATAGCAACTACACTGTGAAGCTGCAAGAGTGTGATTCTCAAAAAAGGAAAACTGAAGGAAGACATTCAAGTATTAGATTTAGAAGCATGTAAGTAGTAGGCCAGTGTGCCTGTCAGAATCTGAGTGATAGAATTGTGCATTCTAATGAATTTGCGTTTCAAATTTGGTCTCCCACCGGTATTGCTCTGTA